ATTAGGCTGACAAAGATTAAAGAGTTTGACAATACATGGCTTTGCAAAGTATACAAGGGTAATTAATTTTATGTTCAATGGCAGTGTCTATCAAAATTACAAATGCATGACCCCTATAATCTATTAATCCCATTTTTAGGAATTTATCCCCTGTAATCTATTAATTCCATTTTAGGAATTTGACCAAAATTCACATACATTTAGAATGATATACAAAATGTGGGAATGAAAACTGGGCAGAGACAGGAAGGAGACTTCATTGACTATCCTTTCTGGCCTCTAAATATTAAAGCAAATGAATATATTAAATTTTAAAAAATTACAGAGGGGCACCTGGGTGGCTCAGTCGTTAAGTGTTTGCCTTTGGCTCAGGTCATGATCCCAGGGTCCTGGAATCGAGCCCCACGTCGGGCTCCCTGCTCAGTAGGGAGTCTGCTTCTTCCTCTCCCACTCCCCCTGCTTGTGTTCCCTCTCTCGCTTTCTCTCTGTGTCAAATAAATAAATAAAATCTTTACCAAAAAATGAAAAAGAAAAGTTGTAGGGCGCCTGGGTGGCTCAGTTGGTTAAGCAACTGCCTTCGGCTCAGGTCATGATCCTGGAGTCCCGGGATCGAGTCCCACATCGGGCCCCCTGCCAAGCAGGGAGTCTGCTTCTCCCTCTGACCCTCTTCCCTCCCGTGCTCTCTATCTCTCATTCTCTCTCTCAAATAAATAAAATCTTTAAAAAAAAAAAAAAAGAAAAAGAAAAGTTGTAGATACTGGGGTGCCTGGGTGGCTCAGTTGGTTAAGGAGCTTCCTTCAGCTCAGGTCATGATCCTGGGGTCCTGGGATTGAGCCCCAAGTCAGGGTCCTGCTTAGTGGGGAGTCTACTTCTCCCTCTCCTTCCACCCCTCTCCCCGCACTTGTGCTCTCTCTTGCTCACTCTCTCAAATAAAATCTTAAAAAATTAATAAAAGGTTAAAAATTGTAGAAATTTTAAAACTTCCAAGTATGACAATAATGGTTTTCATTCTGCAAAAAATCCTCCTATAATTGCCTAACCACTTACACACAATCTGTTCCAAAGTACCTGTTAGAAACATGTAGGTATCCTTAAGGTCAAATTAAACATTACTAAAAGCAAAACGACAAGGCAAATTAAAAATCATAATGGATGAAAAGGAATTACAAAGAGTAACACTTTCAACTTTGGGGCCATTTCTGGATAATTTTTTTAGATTATGTAGTTTGCTTATCATCAGGTAAAAGAATTTCCCAAACCTATTCACAGACCTTTTTGAGGGCTGGGATAGGATGTAGTGTAAACTATTAATTAGGCATTGACTTTACTAGTATGATATTAAAGTTAAAAAAAAAAAAGCTCCAGAACATTTTGCTTGTAAAAATCTCAGGTAAAAAAAATGCTGCCTTATTCATTTTTATTTGAGATCTACAGATTTTACACCAATGAATTTCATGTGAAACCTTTATATTGAAGGAAATTTCTAGGGCACCATCAAGTAAGATTAAAGAACAGAACAGAAATAAAAAAAAAACAGAACTACTCCTAAAACAGGTCTCCATTAGATATTTTCATTTCATATTACTGGTCTTATCTTCTAATCAGTTTCTAAGTTTAACATCCCACTATTTTCCATTAAAAGTGCCATCACCACTGCTCCTAATTCCAGGTTAAGGGCAGTGAATGGGATCCTGTTGCTATACAAACGAGTCTCTGATGTTCTTTACCATCTCCTGAGTACAAGATTCACTAGCTCCTTTCCTTGCTCTGTTCTTTGCATATTGCCAGGCAATGTTTCCTACCCACATAATATGCAAAATTTCTGCTCATATAACTATCTATTTATTGTCCTGTTGCCACAACTCAGCACTTGTTTCTGTAATATAGCAATGGCCCTGTTTCTTGTTGCATGGTCAAAGTATACAGACTTCTATTTTAACCCCTCTAGCAAACTCTGAAAAGACCATGACCTGAGGTCATGCCAACTCCTGAAAAACCAGTTAAGTATCTTGACCAAGGTAGTGGTTTCACTCTCTGGTGGTCTGTGTTCTATCCTCCACTCTGCCCCATGACAGCCTCTACAGAAATGCAGTTTTCATTAGCCTCCAGTGTTCCATTTCTGCATGTTTTGGAAGGTTCTTCTCCTTGACTGTGAACCTTCTCAGGCACATTCAAGTGGCTACAAAAAGCAGAATTTCCAATCTTGCAACAGCAAAGGGAGAAAGGCCCAAGAAGATTGCCCAGACTCACCAAGACCATATACAGGTGGGCCCAGACAGTCAGAATTCTTCAGAAGTCTTTTTGTTTTCTTTCAGGAAGTTAGAAAAAGAAAAGAAAGATTCTGTATTTATTTCTTTTTAAACTGGGGTGTAAATCTCTCAAACAAGGTTTTAAATATAATGATGATGAACACCACCATGTTGCACAAAACTTTTTGACCGTTTCCAATTTAAAACGGTTAAGGAGGCCATCAAACCTATAAACTCGATGTGAGACCCAGCTCTGCCTAAAAAAAAGATTATATAGATGCATTACAAAATCCATTCTGACGAATGTTCTGAATGGTAAATAAAGGACTATAGGGTCATAGGTTCCAAACTGTGTGACCTTGAATATAAAGATCTTTTCATATTTCCACAGTATGGTCCAGAACAGAATAGGCATGGAAGCTATCACTCAAAACAAATCTGACCTTCTCAGAAACTCCTGGGCAGACACTAATAAAGGGCCAAATGTCCCTCTCCCCACCAAACTGCTGAAACTGGTAAGGGCAAGGTATGCTTCCTTAGCATAGTAAGATGCTACATTAATTTTCAGCACAATTTCTTGGTCATAATGGCATAGGCAAAATTAGCATTTATCTCTGTAAGTGAAAATACATTATAAAGACATAAATAGGGGTGCCTGGGCGGCTCAGTCAGTTACGCAGCTGCCTTCGGCTCAGGTCATAATCCCATGGTCCTGGGACTGAGCCCTGAGTCAGGCTCCTTCCTCAGCGGGGAGCCTGCTTCTCCCTCTCACTCTGCCTGCTGCTCTGCCTACGTGTGCTCTCTCTGTCAAATAAATACATAAAATCTTTAAAAAAAAAAAAAAAAGACATAAATAATAACATATAGTGACATTCATTCACTTTCTCATTCTTTCAGCAAATATTCAAACACTGACATTTTATTACCAAAAGAATCTTTACACCAAATTTATTAGAGAATCTATGATAACTGCTTATGGTTTAAAAGGTGTATTTTTTTATTACTGCAATTTCTTTCCAAATATATAAACCACAGTATCCTTAACTTTTATAAGCAGAAAACAGATCCTAACACACAAGACCTTATAGACTATAAAATAAGAAAAAAAACCCTAATTTTTTATAGAGAATAAAAGATAGATTTCCTAGATGATATGGGAAGAAGTAATGCCTTAAACTAAAATGTTCCAATTGTACTAACAACACTCTGAAGAACTAAGTAACAGAACCAGGGTCTAAAACTTGCAGACATTAACACAGATTGCATTTTAATTTTTCATTTTTTAAAAAATAAAAGTTATTCAGTAACACCTCATTCTTTACTGGATCCTCACAAACACAAGGCATACATTGTACCTGTTGCTTGTACATATAGACAGAGAGCCAGGCTCAGGAACACCAAGAAGTTATATAAACACTCCCATTATGAGCTGCAGCATATTCCTGCAATGGTTTATAAGGTATATATTTGATATTACAGAGAAGAAATCATAGGAATCAAAGTAGAAAACAGAAACAGAAAATTAAAAATAAGCCTTCTCTATGAACATCTTGGGTCTTTTTAAATTAAAACAAATGTGTGTATTTCTTTTTTTTTTGAAAGATTTATTTATTTGACAGAGAGAGAGAGAGCGAGAGAGCGAGAGAGAGAGAGACAGCAAGAGAGGGAACACAAGCAGGGGAAGCGGGAGAGGGAGAAGCAGGCTTCCCGCCGAGCAGGGAGCCCCATGTGGGGCTCAATCCTAGGACCCTGGGATCATGATCTGAGCCAAAGGCAGACGCTTAACGACTGAGCCACCCAGGCGCCCCACAAATGTGTTTATTTCTAAATGACACAAAGAAATCAGTATACCTAAAACTTGAGAACAGAATGTTCTACTTAATGCCAATTCTGAAAGGAATGTTAAAGACTTTAAATGAGTTAGCAATACATAACAGAAAAAGGTCTAGATCTGGAGCCAGCAAGCTTGGGTTTGAAGCTTAGCTCCCTGATGTGGTAAATAACTTAATCTCCTTGACTATTTTCATCTGTAAAATGGGGGAAATACTACAGGGTTATTGTGAGGATCAGAAAAGATTATAGATGACTCTCACATTTGTTAAACATGGAAAACTAAGTATTGGTATTATTATTCCCTAGACTAGTTAGAAAGGGAAGAATAGAGTCCATTTATTATTTTATTGTTTTCTCCACAGGTAATCTCACCCTATACTTTTAGAATAACAGACCCAATACCTAATAAATGGTAGCAGTTACATATTTCACTTATATAATATAAACACTTAAAGTTCTTACCATTCAGATAATATATCAAACTATTGGTCATGTTAACTTCAAAACTTTTGGTCTAAGAAGTTTCTCAAATATGCCAGATGCTTCTGAATCTCAGGAGTGCATGAAAGGAAAATAATTTATTCCCAGTTTCATAGTCTATGTTATTCTCTTCAACTGTCATCTTCCCTCTTGCTGCGTGTTTCTCTAGAAGAGTATTTATTTACCATGCAATTTAGACAACTACCATTAAAAAAAAACAAAACAAAAAAAACAAAGTGGAAGGATAAATTATGGCAAGTAACAAGAAAATAAGTGATTCCATGGTAAATGAACAAAATATGAAGATAAAACACTTTTAGAAAACACAAATGCCTCATATTTATATTCACATTAATATAAATTTCATGCCAACTATTTAGAATGTCTCTGCTTGTTTTGTATGCATAAGCATTATCAGAAATATGCACTTGTTCTTACCTTTAGATTTGGGAATTAGCTCTCCACAACTGAGTATCCGCACCTCAGCAAATGGTTTGCTAGCTGCATCTGTTTTCTGGTTTTCTATCTCTCTCACAACTTCTTGACCAGATATCACTTGCCCGAAAACAACATGATGCCTAAAGAGTCAATTATAAGATGATCAATAACAGCTTTTAATTTTAACATTAATTTAAAATGGTCATAAAATAAATTAAAATAATCTTTACCCATCTAAATGAGGAGTTGGCTTCGTTGTTCTTTGGAAGTCATCAGATGGAATAAAAACAAAGTAAGAGAAAAACAAAGTTAGCAGCTCTAAAAAGGAAAAGAAAATAACTGCATTGGAAATAAAGTTGCAAAGAAATCAGATGCTATTTTAACATAATAGAATCTTACTAGATTAACCTTAAGTAGTCAGAAATAATGCAAGATGCTTTTTACATAATATATTTCAAAGACTTATTCTGATCATAAAAATTAAGACCTACTCATTCTTGAAATTTTATATGTAATTAAACATTTTGGTGTCATTTCTATCCATCTATGTTTCTTGCATGTGACTGGGTTCTTACTGAATATTCACAGGTGTATAAAGTTCTATGGTTGTATAATGTTCTATTGTATGGACAGACCATAATTTATCAAGATTCTACCAGTTCATAGGTTTAACAGTAGTGTTTTTCAATCTTAACATTTTAAACAGTTAAAGCATAGGTCAATCCCCTATCCATGGTTTTGCTTTCCACTGTTTCAGTCACCAACAGTCAATTTCAGTCATTCGCAGTCCAGAAGCAAATAATCCTCCATCTCACATACTGTCAGTTCAATAGTAGCCTAATACTATGTCACAATGCCTGTTATTCACCTCACTTCATTTTTTTTTTAAAGATTTTACTTATTTGGGGCACCTGGGTGGCTCAGCTGTTAAGTGTCTTGCCTTTAGCTCAGGTCATGATCCCAGAGTCCTGGGATCGGGCCCCACATTGGGCTCCCTGCTCAGGGGGAATCCTGCTTCTCCCTCACCCCCTGCTTGTGTTCCCTCTCTCGCTGTCTCTCTCTCTCTGTCAAATAAATAAATAAAATCTTAAAAAAAAAATTTTATTTATTTATTTGACAGAGCACAAGCAGGGGGAGAGGCAGGCCAAGGGAGAGGGAGAAGCAGGTTACCCACTGAGCAGGAAGCCTGATGTGGAGCTCGATCCCAGAACCCCGGGATCATGACCTGAGCTGAAGGCAGACACTTAACTGACTGAGGCACCCAGGCACCCCTCACTTCTTTTCATCACGTCGGCATTTTATCATCTCACTTCATCACAAGAAGGATGAGTGCAGTAAGATATTTTCATAGAGACCACATTCACGTAACCTTTGTTACAGTGTATTATTATAATTGTTTTATTTTATTACTATTGCTATTAATCTCTTACTATCCCTAATTTATAAATTAAACTTTTATCTGTAGTTTCAGGCATTCATTAGGGGGTCTTGAAACGTACTCCCTGTGGATAATATTCAGATGGCCCTCATACATGTTCTGTTGGACCAGAGAAGAAATGGTCCTTACTGTGTTTATAAAATTTCCAATTAGCTGCCAAGATTCAAAACTTTGGATACTTTCACATAAAAATCCAGATTTCAGACCTTTATTGGAAAGCTGGAAGGTATGGCCCCTGGCATGTGGCAATAATGGGTCAGGCTGATTATCCCTGTCTTCTTAATACAGGGATTAATAGTGTAGATTCTTATCCCGGCAGGCTTTATTTGCTTATGTTACTTGCCTAAGACCTAAAGACTTTTGAGCTTTTTACCCCTGATAAACAAAGAAACTTCACAATGAAGAAAGAGATCTGGATTAAAACTTGGGACAAAACTCAGGACGCCTGGGTGGCTCAGTTGGTTAAGCGTCTGCCTTTGGCTCAGGTCATGGTCCCAGGGTCCTGCTTCTCCCTCTGCTGTTCCCCCTGCTTGTGCTCTCTCTGTCAAATAAAGAAATAAAATCTTAAAACAAACAAACAAGCAAAAAACTTTGGACCAAACTCAAAGTAAGCAAAAGTCCAACAAATGAAGTAATTTTTTAAAATCCTTTTTCCACTCCACACCAACCTTAAAGCCCTATAGTTAAGAAGACTGGTATCTGAGTAGCTCTGAAGACATACTGCTGTAACAGACTGAAGATGGGCACTGTATATAATTTGTTATTTTAAAGAATCTAATCAAAAAAGGCATTAGAAATTTGGAAGAAGGAACACAATTTAAGCTAACCTTTGGTTAAAGCCCACACAATACTAATGGAAAAAGCTGAAACATGTACATGTATTTTTACAAGATCACCTTGCTTTTAAAACTAACCTATTATTGTTTTCTGACTCTAACAGCTATGCTCACCTGAACTTGCTTAAACCATCTAGAGATGTTAAAAACCTATGTGTATACGATATAGGTATTTGTATTACATATTACATTCAGTGTGTGTGTGTATATATATATGTGTGTGTGTATATATATATATATATATATATAAAACTTGCATCCAGATTTAGTCTATCTTTGCCTCAGATACTGTATTTGCCAAGTTCACTTGCTCACTAGAATTTACTTGTAACCCCTAAACCAATACTCCTCTGTTTTCATGGTCATTCTCAGATTGGTAAGAAAAAGAAAAAAAATGTATTGATGAGTAAAAAAACTAGAACTCTTGGGGGCGCCTGGGTGGCTCGGTCGGTTAAGCGGCTGCCTTCGGCTCAGGTCATGATCCTGGGGTCCTGGGATCGAGCCCCATCTCCGGCTCCCTGCTCGGCAGAGAGCCTGCTTCTCCCTCTCCCTCTGCCTGCCACTCTGCCTGCTTGTGCTATCTGTTGAATAAATAAATAAAATCTTTAAAAACAAAACAAAACAAATAAAACCCTAGAACTCTTGTATAGTGCTGGTAGGAATGTAAAATGATGCAACCACTGTGGAAAACAGTTCAGTGGCTCCTCACAGAACTAAATATAGAATTACCATATGATCCAGCAATTCCACTTTTATGTATATACCTAAAATTGAGAAGGGACTCAAACAAATATGGTTATGTCAATGTTTACTGCAGCACTATTCATAATAGCCAAAAGGTGGAAACAACCCAAATGTCCACTAAACTAAATGTGGTATGTACATATAATGGAGTATATTCATCCATAAAAAGGAACAAAATTCTGATACATGCGACATGGTTGAACCTTGAAAACAGGCTAAATAAAATAAGCTCGAAACAGAAGGACAAATATTGTATGATTCTGCTTGTATATCTAGAACAGGCAAGTTCATAAAGACAGAAAATAGAGGTTACCAGGGACTAAGGGTAAAAAGAAATGGGTTAGTTTCTGGGACAATGAAATAGTTTTGGATACAGTGGTAACAGCTCCATAGTACTGTGAATATAATCAATACCATTAAATTATACACTTAAAAATGGTTAAAATGGCAAATTTTATATCATATACATTGCCACAATAATTTAAGAGTAAAAACTGAAGTTTTCTCCTTTAAAAACAATAAAACAAATTAAACAAGGGCAACCTAGAAATTAAGAGATAAGGAAAAAAACATATAGAGGGAAGATTCTGAAAATATACATGAAGGATTACATAAACTTAACAGAGAGATTTTGGTTAGCACAGGAAGGATTTTTCTTTAAAAAAAAAAGGGGAAACAAATGGTAATACTAAGTGTTGTTGAGAATCTGGTAATACTGGCACTTTGCATAGTGCTGATATCAGAGTACAGTAGCAATATACATGGAAAGGCTTAAAAATGTGTAAAAAGGGGCACCTGGGGGGCTCAGTGAGTTAAACGTCTGTCTTCAGCTTGGGTCATGATCCTAGCATTCTGGGATCGAGCCCCTGTCACGTTCCCCTGTCACGTTCCCTGCTCAGCGGGGGGTGGGGTGGGTGGGTGGGGATCTGCTTCTCTCTCTCCTTTGGGCCCCTCCTCCTTGCTTGTGTTCTCTCTCAAATAAATAAAATCTTCAAAAAAACAATGTGTGAACATTTCACTAAGTAAACTCTTAGCAGCTTATGTAAAATAATTAAAAATGCATCAAACAGGTACAACAATGTTCAATGAGGCAGTGTGAAAACCAAAAAACAAGTCAAATGTTTAAAAATTAGCATAATACATTCAAACAATGGATTCACATATAGCTATTAAAATGTTAATTAATACTTCGTGATGTGCAGAGATTTATACTGTATCCAAAAGTTGATTAAACAGTATATACAACATTTATTTAAGATTTTTATTTGTCAGAGAGAAAGAGCACAGCATGGGGAGCAGCAGGCTCCCCGCTCAGCGAGGAGCCCAATGCGGAACTTGATCCCAGGACCCTGGGATCATGACCTAAGCCAAAGGCAGACGCTTAACCAACTGAGTCATCCAGACATCCCTATATGCAACATTTAGCTTACATTTTTATTGCTGAGAATGATACCCGGGGGATGGGAATGTTTTCCTTCTTTTTATCTGTGTTCTTTTTCTACAACCAACATGATATAAATCGCTTTCATTTAAATAATCAGAAAAATCCCCACAAAGGAAATTGGTTGAACGAACTAGAACAGATTCACACCACATTATGCAGCTGCAAAAACAAATGAAAAGGATCTCTATGAGCTGATATGGAGTGACTTCCAGGATATACTGCTAAGTGAAAAGAGCAAAACATTGTATATGGTATATGCTGTCTACCATGTAAGAAAGGAAAATAAGGAAATATATATGTACCTGTGTTTATTTTTATAAAGAGAAATACAGGAAGGGGTGCCTGCGTGGCTCAGTTGGTTAAAGTCTGCCTGCAGCTCAGGTTATGATATCCAGGTCCTGGGATCAAGCCCTTCATTGGGCTCCCCGCTCAGCAGTGAGTCTGCTTCTCTCTCATTCTCTTTCCCCACTTCTGCCCCTCCCCACCACTCATTCTCTCTCTCAAATAAATAAATAAAATCTTAAAAAAAAAATACAGGAAGATAAACCAGAATCTAATGAGGCTGGTTACTAAAATGGATGGGTGGAAATGGGATGAAAAAATGGGTAATGTCAATGAGGGTGAAGAGTTAGGTGGGAGTGATACTTTCAGAGGCATTCTTTTTGAATCACACAATGTTTTATAAACAAACACAAAACCAAAAACACAAAAAACAAATCAAAACAAGGTGAGAGAACAAAATATAATCATAAACAAATGAACCTAACATATTTTGAGTCACAAAACCACAAGAAATTCACAACAAAATGTACTAACCCAAGTCACTTTTATTTTTATTTATTTTATTTTGGTTTTATTTTATCCACTTGAAAGAGACATAGCTAGAGAGGGAACACAAGCAGGGGGAGTGGGAGAGGGAGAAGCAGGCTTCCTGCCGAGCAGGGAGCCCGACGCGGAGCTCGATCCCAGGACCCTGGGACTATGACTTGAGTTGAAGGCAAATGCTTAATGACTGAGCCACCCAGGCGCCCAAGTCACTTTTAAACAGTTATTTTAACTACATACCCTCAATCTAAAACCAAAAATAACTATAAATAAACAGTAACTCTAGTTAGTAGGTTACTTTTCATAGCAGTATAGAACGGTGAATTTTTATTCTAGGATTCAGCAAATAGGTAGAAATTTTGAAGATAATGGGAGCCAAGTTTCTCACTGTTAAAGAAGGGAGTTACAGGGGTGCCTGGGTGGCTCAGTCGTTAAGCATCTGCCTTCGGCTCAGGTCATGATCCCAGGGTCCTGGGATCGAGCACCACATCGGGCTCCCTGCTCCGCGGGAAGCCTGCTTCTCCCTTTCCCACTCCCCCTGCTTGTGTTCCCTCTCTCGCTGTCTGTCAAATAAACAAATAAAATCTTTAATAAAAAAAAAGGAGTTACAAATATGAAACAGTAAAACACTGGAATAATCTATATGGTGCTTACAGATTAAGTTCCTCTCGAGAGTAGGAGAGTTTAAAGCTAATGAAGAGGAGACCAAATCTGTACCCATAGGACATGATAAAAAATATACACTGTTTTAATTTTTTTTTTAAAGATTTTATTTATTTATTTGACAGAGAGACACAGCAAGAGGGGGAACACAAGCAGGGGGCGTGGGGGAGGGAGAAGCAGGGCTCCTGCTGAGCAGGGAGCCCGATGTGGTGCTTGATGCCAGGACCCCGAGACCACCACCTGAGCCGAAGGCAGACGCCCAACGACTGAGCCACCCAGGCGCCCCAAAAATATGCATTGTTGACAAGAGCCCTGGTCAAAATTTTTGGGGGGTCAAAATTGGAAAGGATTAACAGTACTGACTTTGGGGCTATAAACAAATGTTAGGGAGTACATGAATTCACAAATATAGAATCTCTTAATAATGAGGATCAATTGTATTTTACTCTTTGTAATCAAGTAATTTATAAGGAGATACTCCGTAAATATCCTGTTTATTATTAAGTTTACCCTCTAAATAGATAATTCTTTCTTCAATCAATCATTACTGAGATGAATGGAAAATGGTGACTTTTCTATCATTCCTTTTACATTACTAGCTGACATTCTACTAAGAAACAAGCTTTTCCGGGGCACCTGGGTGGCTCAGTTGGTTGGGCAACTGCCTTCGGCTCAGGTCACGGTCCCGGGGTCCTGGGATCGAGCCCCGCATCAGGCTCCCTGCTCCCTGCTCGGCGGGAAGCCTGCTTCTCCCTCTCCCACTCCCCCCGCTTGTGTTCCCTCTCTCACTGCGTCTCTCTCTGTCAAATAAATAAATAAAATCTTAAAAAAAAAAAAAAAAGAGAAACAAGCTTTTCCTTCTCCCTTGTTATTTATTCATTTATTACTCATAGCTGTATGGGCTCCTGGGTTTCTATTTTATTTGATAGTCTGATACTATCATTATTTATTTATTTTGATGCTCAAATTGTTCTAATTTGGCCAGTGGGAACCTCACTCCTTCAGGCTGGCTCCTGTGCCCTTTTGACAAGTCTTTATCATTTTGAAACTTTAGTAATACAGTTCAATTTCCTTTCAATAATTTTGCTCTCTTCAACAATTCATTGTTCTCCTTCCTTCAAAAATTTTCCCCTTTATGGATCCCCCTATTAGTGATCAATGAGAAATGACACACCAAAAAAGGCTTATTTTAAATAATCACGGCATACATACTTACATGAAGAACTGTGAACCATTTGTATCCTTCCCTCTGTTGGCCATAGACAAGAGAAATTCTTTGTTGTGTTTAACAGCAAAACTCTCATCTACAGAAAAGCAAAGTTTTTAGTTATATTACAGGTATAACCTCCAAAAAGGTTTCATTTTCACTCTTCATCTCTTTTGTTCATGTGCTCTTTAGCACCAGGCAAAATTTAGATAAAAGTCAGGTTAAAAGAAGAGAAAATCAAGTATTAACCAACTCCCTCTCCCATCTTTTTAGATTAAAATATTTCTAATTTTCAATCCCTTGCCATAAATCCAAATACTATTATCAACCCCCTTTCTTTCCATTTGCATTTGTCTTTTATATTTTTTTTGAAAAAACACAACTTTGATCATTCAAGCAAAAAATAAAATGTTCCTTAAAAAGCAAGAGAAAGAAACCAGATAGGATTTTTACATTTCATCTGTTTCATTTCTGAGCACAAAAAGGCACATATCCTATATTAAACACAGAGAGGCACTCATTAACTTAATCTCTGCCATAGCATCATTTATTGTAGAGTAGCTTGCCTTCCAATCTTGGATTAGAATATGAGAACGCAAGTGGAATGTGAAACAAAATTTCACTTAATCCCTAATGTGAAAGATGGGAAATATGAAATTATTTCCACATTCACATGTTTATAGTCTTTCAAATGATCTTCACATCAATAAAAAATTCCAAAGAGAAAACTTAAAGTTGAGAAAAACATTATAGCCAAAGTTTAATATATTAAAGAGTTTTTTTCAAAAAGTGCATAGAAAAATGGACCCACTAAACATGTGGATATTGTTACTATGAAACACTGCTAAATCTCTTTTAATAAAAATTAAGATTAAGCTATGGAAGTTCCCATTCTAGTACTATAATTCCAAGAGTTTATTATAAATCATTGAAATCCTTCAGATAACATGATGTATTAATGTCCTAAACACACAAAAAATCCTACCTCTGTAAGAAAAATCACATAAAATTTTTCACAAGAAAATTAACTTTCAGATTCACTGTAGTTGGATATTAGTATACTGTTTAATAATCCTGATTCAATAGAGACAAATAAAATAATATAGAAAACATTAAAAATACAATGTAAATGTAAATATCTTTACCTTCAAAAAATCCTCCATAAATAGATTCCCCTCCTCGTCCATTTCCTAAGAAAGAAAAACACGACTCAAACTCTCAAGATAGTAATCTCGTCGAATGTACCCCCTAAATATTTCTTACAAAGTAGGTGCTCAAATGATTTTGAATCAAAAATACTCAAAGATTCACAGCATATCATAAAAGATATTAATTTAAACTCAATATTGACAAGATCCCAAATTACTTTCTTTCCCCTTCAATACAATAGCAAAAATGTGACAAAGCCTATTAAGGTATGTGAGAAAAAAGAACATTCAGATTCTAATGATTATGTAGACCTTTGAACAAAAATTAGATTTTTTTCAAATCACCTTTAAAAATACAGTTTGTTTTTACAATTTAAAAGTATAGGTAAAAACTAGGGGCGCCTGCAGTTAAGCATCTGCCTTAGGTTCAGGTCATGATCCCAGCATTCTGGGATCAAGTCTCACATTGGACTTGTTCAGCAGGGAGCCTGCTTCTCCCTCTGCCTGCCGCTCCCCCTGCTTGTGCGCCCCCTCTCTCACAAATAAATAAAAATCTTTAAAAATAACGGAAGATAAATAATAAAAGTATAGGAAAACCTATATTGTAGTTAAGGATTACTAGTTTTGACAAGACGAAACACACATACTGATAGGTTACTAAGAGATGAATGGTGTTTTTTATTCAGAAGCAAATTTCTGAAATTACTTCATGCATCCAAAGTAAAATTATTTCCTATGTGCTTCCTTCTTTTTGTCTATTTGAGTATTTCTAGAGACTTTAAGATCTAGGATACTTAACAAAGCATACATGATTTTCTTACCTTCACTGAAGTCACCACCTTGAACCATAAAATCTTTGACAACTCTGTGAAAAAGACAACTCTTATAATGTAATGGCTTCTGAGTTGATTTCCCTGTCCCCTTTTCACCTACAGAGAAAAAAATTAGTAGGCCATTTAGTAGAAAGAAAATCAAGGAAGCAGTATTAAAGCAAAATTAATGATGAAAACTATTCTCTGTAAAATACACCTCTTTTAAACTATGTAGTCTTTAATCTATAAAATTTTCACTCCCCTCAGGAATTTCTTTTTTTTAAATTCACTTAAAAACCATCCATGTTTTTCTGGAGAGTGTAGAAATTTAGAAATCAATCTCAGATAAAAGCCCATTACAAGTAGTATTTCTAAAAATTACTTTCACGGGGTGACTGGGTGGCTTACTCAGCTAAGTACCCGACTCCTGGTTTTGGCTCAGGTCAGGATCTCAGGGTCATGGGATTGACCCCCCCCATTGGGCTCTGCTGCTTAAGAATCTCTCTCTCTCTCCCTCTGCTCCCCCATCCCCGCTCACACTCTAAATAAATAAATAAATACTACTTTCACATCTTGGTCAATGGTACATAATCTGGAGAAAATTAAAATATGTTAAATAAAAAAATTAAAACCATAGTCAAATGGGACTACTATTAGGCCAACTAAAAATGTCAACAGGGCGCCTGGGTGGCTCAGATGGTTACGCATCTGCCTTCAGCTCAGGTCATGATCCCAGGGTCCTGGGATCGAGTCCCGCATCGGGCTCCCTGCTCCTTGGGAGCCTGCTTCTCCCTCTGCCTCTCTCTCTCTCTCTCTCTCATGAATAAATAAAATCTTTAAAAAAATAATAAATAAAAAATAAATAAATAAATAAAAATGTCAACAAACCTGTACAAAGACAACGAAAGTTCTCGCATGTTTTGGGGCACACATCAGAAAATAATTCAAAGACAACTCTTCCAGCTGAAAAAGAAGGAAGCTCATTTATACTTTACTAATTTAAAATATTAAATATTCATTTATAAATGTTACATGGGAACATTAATTTTCTTACCAGGTTGATTATTAATGGCAATGTCAAAAAAACATCGAGGACGCTGAACCTTTATTCCCATGGCTCCAATACTTCAATCTATGAACAAAATAGAGTTTTAGGCAAACAGACCAAAACAGCAAAAATTTCTTATAAATTTGTAGGGGAAAAAACCCTGGAACACAAATTAGAAATGTAGTTTGAACTTACTTTGATATTTACTTCCATTACATAAATAACAAGGATTTTTTTTCTTTAGAGATTAGATTGCATTTTGTGAAACAAAAGACACAAAAGAAAAACCTTAGCCATAATATAATAAAAATTCTATTTTAGGGGCGCCTGGGTGGCTCAGATGGTTAAGCGTCTGCCTTCAGCTCAGGTCATGATCCCAGGGTCCTGGGATCGAGCCCCGCATCGGGCTCCCTGCTCCTTGGGAGCCTGCTTCTCCCTCTGCCTCTCTCTCTCTCTCTCTCTCTCTCTGGCTCTCATGAATAAATAAATAAATAAAATCTTTAAAAAAAAAATTCTATTTTAACCACTGAATATAGATTGCTACCCAAACAGAAAACTGTATTAAGTCTATATGATTAGTGAACTCAAGCAGATTACCTTTAAATAGAGAAAAATCAAGGGCAGACTAATCCAATCCTTTCGCTCATTGAAAACAAAAAGGAGAGTTTTGATTAAAATGGTGTTTTAAAAAGAAAAACATTAAAATCCTAGAAAATACCAAAAATAAATCATCAAGGAAGAAAGTGGGATATTTTAACGATAATATATGGCAGCTTCCCATTCTGAGTAAAATCACAACACTACATATGAGGCTATTTTCTGTTCATTCAAAATTATTATATCTAAGCTGATAGCTCTACAAGCAGTGTGTGATATTTTAAGTCCAGCGAAGTTGTGAAAAATCTATACTCTCCATCCTAAATAGAGTCCTCTCTTTACCAATTTTTAGAGATATCCGTAGAGTCACTGTAGATTGTAAGAAATAATACGATAGTATGTACTTTAGCCAGTTTCCTCCAACGGTAACATTTTAGAAAACTTATATAAGAGCACAACTGTAGCGTAAAAGCAGAACAATGCTGATACAATCCTTTATCCCATTCACATTTCCCGGTTTACTGGCACTCATCTGAGTACTTGTGTATTTACTTAGTTCTACACAATTTCGTCACACATGTAGGTTTTATGTCACCACCCCTTATCAATTTTACACAACCCACAAACTACAAATCGGAATACTCTGCCCAGATCACCAGCAATTTGAAAAATGTAGGTATGTATTCATTCATTTAATGCTGATTATGTGAATTAGGGATTAAATTACATAAAAGATATATTGCATTCAAAAAGATATACTGCATTAAAATTCAGCCCAAGTGTTGGTATATTCAACTTTTGGCATTATTGCACGAGAAAGGGGGGAAAATACCATTTTCTCATGACTACTCCATTTTTTATTTCTAATAGAAATAATGGATACTAGAATTTGTTTCACATGAAACAAAAGCAAAAAAGCTAAACTTTCAATCCTCCTGTAGCCCAGCCTTACAGAAAACAAAAAAAAACTTAGCAATTTTAGTACCTTGCCAAGTTTGCTGCATTGTTTTTACTTGTACAGAATCTCAACTCCTGCACACTTGAAACTGAGAATATGTTCAATCCATAAATCTGAGGAAACTTTCTTAAAAACTTAGTATCTGATTATTCTTTATCTTTTATTTTTACGAGAGAAAGAGAGAGAGCATGAGTGTGGGGAGAGGCAGAGGGAGAAGTAGACTCTGCTGAGCAGGGACTTGATCCTAGGACCCTGAAATCATGACCTGAGCTGAAGGCAGACGCTTAACTGCCTGAGCCACCCAGGCGTCCCTCCTTTATCTTTTAAATAATTTTTGTAGGCCTTCTTAAAATTTCTACTTTTGGGGGTAGAGGAAGAGAAGAGAAAGTTTAACGATTTATTTTCCCCCCAAAAAACCTATATAACTACTTATTTAACCACAATGCCAAAGGTGGAGATTTCTATTCTTACATGAGTACTATACTATTCTTACAATGAGTACTATAGTATAAAAAATACTGTCCCAAACATACCAGATTGTTTATAATTACAGCTAATTTCCTACATACAGTACTGTGTTCTTGAAAACCAGGCATAATTTGGGTGCCTGAATGGCTCAGTCAGTTAAGCGTCTGCCTTCGGCTCAGGTCATGATCCCAGGGTTCTGGGATCAGATAGTACTGCATCGGGCTTCCTGCTCAGCAGGGAGTCTGCGTCTCCCTCCACCCTCCCCCTCACAATCTCTCTCTTAATAAATCTTAAAACAAAACCAGGCATAATTTATGATAGGTTAGAAAAATCCCTAATTACCCATAACCTTTTAGACACAATCTTTGATAATCGTCCGAGTTTCTCAATTCTAGGGCACAATGTAAAAAGCCTATAGCTCTGGTACTTTAAATTGCAATGAATACCACTACTAATTTATGGAGTTATGCGCACAAGTGGGAGCTACCACGATAGTGTTTGTTTTGTTTTGTTTTTTTAATCTGAGAGATGCTTACCTGGGTGAGTTCACTTTGGGAAAACTGAGCTACACTTAGATTTTACGAAGGTTTCAGTACATTATATTGTACCTCAATAAAGTTTATTTTATTAAAAAATAATAAATCAAAACCAAACCTTTACTTCTCTACCCCCACTTCTCTCAAAACTTAGTAAATATTATCACTGTCCAAATCAGCCAAGACTGAAAACTTGGAATCATCTTTGGTTGCATTCTCCTTCATAGCCATTAACCAAACATTAAAAAGTCAGTTTAGCACTGACTTAATTTTAGCTTAAAAAATGCTCTCACCATCTTTACCATTATTATCATTTCTTATCTAGAATACTGCAATAGCCTCCTAATTGGTTTCCCTGTTTTTACTTGGTCCTCTATTATCTATTCTCCATAGAATAACCTGAGTGGAGTGATCCTTTAAAAGCACAATTTACCATTTCATTCCTCTGCCTAATGTTTTTTTTTTTAATGTATCACACTTAATCAGAATGTCTTTCCACGGATTTAAGAATCTAAACCACCACTGTCCAAGAGAAATATGAGCCACATTTATAGTTTTTAAATTTTTAGTAGCCACATTTTAAAAAGTAAAAAGGTTAATTTAAATATTTTATTTAACTCAGTAAGTCCAAAATATTACTTCAACATATATCAACATAAAAATGTGATAAGGAGATATTTCCCATTCTTTTGGGGGTACTAAGTCTTAGAAATCCAGTGTTTCTTAATTCAAAATAGCCATGTTTCAAGTGCTCAATAACTATATGTGGCTCATAGCTACTGTACTGTATAGTACAGCTCTAAATATTTTAGCCCTACTGACCTCTACAACTTCATCTAATATTCTTCTCAACTTTGCTTTAGATACACATGTTC